TAAGGGAGTAAGTGGGAGGACGGGAGATTGCGTTTTGCATTATCTGGGCTCAAGTACCCTTTCCCAAGGGAGAGACCATCTCAGTGCCGGAGGTGAGGCTCTCTCTAGGCCTTTCGCACACTGTGGTCCAAACAGTAGAGATGAGGAGAGAGGGGTGGGGGAAAGTAGCCGCATCCTCCCTGCTCCATGATTGTTGATGTGGGTGGCAGACCTCTGGCTAAATAAACCTCCCTGATGGAACCCAGTTTGCAGCCCTACCCACCGAGCCCGCCCGCGTCCACACTGGACCGCAGCCCCGGCTCAGCATGCGTTAGTCACCCCGCATTCCGCTTTAGCATCCCTCCCCGGGGAATAAAGGCACGCTGACCGCATCCTGGGCTTTGAATCCTCTGCAGCTTCTGACCCAGCATCAAACCACATCATTACCCTTCTCATCTGAGCCGTTTATACTTGTCGCTAAAAAGAGGACCTGCCTGTCACCGTGTCATCTTCTCTTAACCAGGGAGGAAACAAACAGGTCGGTTGGTAGCACGTCCTGGCTCTCAGTGGGTTCCGGGCACCGGAGCCTTCTCCACACGTTCACATTCTGCGCGTTTCCACTTTTAAACGGGCCCCCACCGGCGTAAATACATCTCACAATGTATGTAGATGTCTGGAGTGGGGCGGTTGATGTCATGAAAAGCTTCTCCTGCAAAGTGGGCAAAGCCAGTCAAATCAATGTAAGGAGCTTGAGGATTTTTTGTCCCAACCCTGTTTATTATCATGCGGCCAACCTAAGACCAGTGCCACACCAGGGCTCTTCCCAACTTGCCGAACGCCCTGCCTCTCCCGCTGCCCCGGGAGCCGTTCTCATGAGGCTCACACGGCCCCTGGATGGTCTCACATGCCCACCAGCAGCTTCGAAGGCTTCCTGCCTTTCCAGAACTCCAGCCATGTGTCTCCTGTGTTTGCCAGGCACCTCCTCTCCGTATCTTGCAGGCGCCTCCCATTTCCCGAACAGTCTCGTCTGTATCTCGTCTGGAGTCTCCTGGCTCCACTCCTTGCCCCCAACCCCCCTTCCCGCCCCCCGGACAACTTTCCTGTGTGCCTGAGCGGTCAGTGCCCCCCCCTGTCTGAAACGTCCCGGTGGGAACTCTCCAGCTTGGATTCCTTCCTTCTTTCCTGCTCTGCTCTTCCAGTCATCACCTTGTGGCCTGCTGGTCTACTCTCTGCAGCTCGGGGACCCAGCTTCCCACCGTCCCTTGTTGCATTGCCCTCTTGGCCCTCTGGCCTCTCTTCTGTCCCCTCCATCTGCTCCCTACACTACAACCAACGTGATGTTTCTGGAACGGAAGTCTCAAGTCTCAGTATCGTACCACTTCCATGTCTTCCCGTTTTCTGCCTCTCATTTTGTGCCCTCCACCACCATAACCCTCATCTCCTCCAGGCCCCCATCATTTCTCCTTTCCGGGTCCATTCTTGACCCCTCAGATCTCTGCTAAAGTGTCCCTTCTTAGCCACAGGCTTCTTGGAGCCTTTCCCACACTCTGAAGGGTACACGGTGCTGTGCCATCAGGTTGGATGCTTGTCTGTGCCTGAATAGGCATGCTCAGCCAAGGTGAACCTGCCCAGTCCCCACGGTATCTCGAGGGACTTTCTTCCATCTAGCAAAGGCCAGGGATCAGGGTTACAGGGGGAGAGTGGGACTTGACAAGCATCTAGAAAGGGGAGCTGTTGACAGGTGGTGGGTTATACGTGGGTACCGGCTGTCTGAGCCAGTGAATCCAGTCAATGACCCCGAACCGTCAGGAATTTACAATGATCAGACATATTCTGAGATGAATGAATGGTTAATACATTGTTTTTGCTTTACTTTTGTCTGTCTAGTTGGTAGTGAGGGAAGCTGTTTTACAACTAAAGGCAGTACAGTAGAATGATTGAGACTGTGGACTCCAGTACTGAACCCCTTGGGGCTCCGGGCGCCCAGGTGGCACCCGACTTTGACTCAGGTCATGATCATCAACACAGTTCGTGAGTTCAAGCCCCGCATCGGGCTCTGTGCTGACAGCTCAGAGCCCGGAGCCTGCTTCTGATTCTGTGTCTCCCTCTCTCTCTGCCCTTCCTCCACTTGCTCATGCTCTCTTTCTCTCTTTTTCTCTCTCAAAAATAAACATTAAAAACATTAAAATAAATAAATAAATCCGTTCATCCCTGGGATTTGAATCTAGCCTCATTATGTACTTAAGCTTTCAGTGCCCGCTTTCTCATCTGTAAAATGGGGATAGTAATAGCGAAAATGGGGATAGTAATAGCCCCATAAGGTAGATCAGTGTGTGCGCAGTGTCTGGAATGGAGCTTGAGTGGCCTAGGCGGTTCCCCCTTTTCTTCCTTCTCCTCATTTTACTCCGGGAGCAGGTCTTTTACATGGTAATTTGCAGTTTTTAACTTGGGAGTCCAGAATAAACGAGTCCTTTGCGAACGATCTCCTAGAACTGTATCCTCGGACTTTTATGATATTGTGAGAAGCGGGTTCTTCTAGCTTGGTTTAAGCCAAGGCCTGATATATCAAAGGCCAACGTCAGCTTCTTAGCCACGGTGTGACCTGGGTAAGGTCTTCCATGTCCCCGTTGAGAACTGGGAATTATAAACTGCCAAGGTGGTTGTCACAGGGATGAGAAGTATCTGTGCACAACAGCTGGTTAGCAGGCATTCATAATCGGCCCTTAGCATTATTTCACCTGCTCGGAACTTTGCCATTCAGCATGTTCTCATCCCCAGCTTTGGTTTTATGGCGGGGCTTGGTGGGTTGGGAGGGGGAAGGAGGGTTAAGGAATATTGCCCATGGACCCAGTCCATCTTGCCTGTGGGAAGAAGGAAGCATCTATTTTCTGAGAAAACATCGATGGTCAACCTGCCTCAGTGGTGATTTTTGTCAGCAGTATAGACAATGCCTTGGTTCTTGGGTACTGGCCCCGCTAGGTAGCACCTTTCACTTTTGATTTTATTCAGATACAAGGTTAATCTTTCGTTCGATCCATGGAGCCACTGTAATGGCTGCAGAGGGGAAAGGGGTTATTAGCCACAAAATGCTACAAGTGAGCTACGAAATAAAAATTAATATTGCTTAATTAAAAGTGCGTGCAGCATGACTCCGGTAACTTCATTACTTACTGAATTTAGTATTCACACATTTCCGTGTATTGTAAAGGCAGTAGGTTAGAGTCTCTTCCTCCCACGCCTTTACCAAGCTTGCTGCGAAATCATTGCTGATAGTAAACTGAAGGTTTATTTTTAACCAGATGGTCTCAAAAGCCAAATTATGAATGCCTTTGAAAAGTTATTTGCCACAAAAGATAATTTAAGTTGGGATACTGATGCATCTTAATACTTTCATCAAAATGCAGGATAACATCTTCAAACGTCACAGGACTCGGGGCACCTGGGTGGCTCAGTGGGTTAAGCGTCATGCTTCAGCTCAGGGCGTGATCTCGTGGTTCATGAGTTCGAGCCCCGGGTTGGGCTTGGTGCTGACAGCTCAGAGCCTGGAGCCGGCTTCGGATTCTGCATCTCCCTCTCTCTCTGTTCCTCCCTTGCTCGTGGTTTCTCTGTCTCCCTCTCAAAAATAAAAGTCACAGGACTTGGAGCACGTGAAGGGCAGAGGCCTGGGGACAATTGAGGGGAGGGGCAGGCCCACCAAACCACAGGAGTGCTCCTCGCCAGCCCCTTGTTTCTGCAGCGAGGTCATCCTCACGGGGGCCTCTCCCGTCATTCCCGAGATGGCCCTGGTGGGGTACACCCAGCTAAGGCGCCGAAGAAGCAGCTGCAGAAAAAGCTGGCCTCACGAGGGAGGAGGTTTAGGCTTGGTTTCTCTTTCATTACTGTGCCGTTTGAGTGAAAATGGAGATTATTGGCAAAGCGAGTTGCACTTGGGGAAAATGTCCGATTTGGCCCAGCCCCTGAGGATTACCCTCCTTGCAGATCTCACTTTATGTTTGGAAGGGCCAGAGTGTCCCCAGCGGTCCCCTTTTGCACACCACGCAGCCCACGCTGGTCTGGAGGAGCGCCGACTGGACAAACCTGTGCAGAACTGGTCCGGCCTCTCCCGAGAGAGGGCTCAGTGCTGCAGATCATCCCGAGAGCATCTGCTCAGGAGAATGGCCAGTCGACGATGCTTGGCTCACGGAAGTCTGCGTAGGAAAATGACTCGCCATGGGACATTTCTGATCAGGGCTTAACACAGAAAGCTATTTTATTCGATTCACGGAAATCAGCTTCCAAGCGGTTGAGAAATATATTTAGCTCTGTGGTCATGGAGATGTTTTTTGGTTTGATTTAATGTTGATGGATTAGAGTAAATTGTTTGTGCAGATGAGCCGAATAAATTCTGCCAGAGCTTATATCTGATTCTGGTTTCACATTAAACCCTTAATTTACAGCTCTGTTCCATTGGCAGTCCTGTTAGAGTGAAGCCCTAGGAAAAGCTTGGCTGGCCCTTCCTCCTCCCTCCACCGTTATTCAGCAGAATTAAACAAATCATTTAGCAACCTCAGAGGAGGGCGCAGAGGGGCCCAGAGGGAGAAATCTGGTCCTAAGGTGTCCTTAACCATCTAAGATGTCTGGAGAGCTACCCTCATTTTAATGGCTTTAATTTAACCGCTATTGAATTATTTCATTTAATCTACTTTCCCTACTTCCCTTCCGCTACCTTCACAGATCCACAAAGCCCTGGGTTTTTCAGAGTATTTCCTTCCCATAGGTGTGCGGTGCAAATGTAAAAAGAAGAGAGAAGTTGCACATCCTTCCTTGGAAAAGGTCGTTCCCGCACTTTTCTTCCCTCCCACTTCCGCCACCGGAGAAGTTCTCAGAAGTAGGACCTGGAGACGGGAATTCTCTCTCCCTCACTGTTGCGTCCCCAGGGCTCACTGGTGTCCCAAGACTTAAAACATTTGTTGAACTGGTGAGTTGAAGGCGAGCTTGAAGAACTGATCAACTTATCTTGCTTGTGTCTTTGTTCCCCTTAGGAGGACTGGAATGAAATCGACCCAATTAAAAAGAAAGACCTTCATCACAGCAAAGGGGATGAGAAAGCACAAAGCATGGAGACCCTCCCGCCAGGTACTGCAACAGCCTGGGGCTGGGGGCTGGGGACCAGGAAACCCTCTTGCTCAGAAACCGTGAATGAGTTAAATGTCGCCTTTGGAGCCGCTGGAGCTCTGGAGTGCATGGATTGCAGGGGGCTGCAGGAGGCACTGCGCTCTAGTAATGTTTGGTGGACTTCCTTCCAGCCCCTTAGTGGGTGTGAAGGAAGTTTACTTTGGAGGTGACCAAAATTTGTTGGGAAAAAAAAAGGAATAAAATGGAAAATACAGGATGGTATATATCGGTTCACAGATTTTTTTTTTTGAAGACTTCATTTTTTTAGAGCAGTTTTAGGTTCACGGAAAAATTTTACATAGAGTATGGAGATTCCCATATACGCCTCCTGCCCCTACATGTACGCACCTCTCCCACCATCAATGCATCCCAGCAGAGTGGTCCGTCGCTATACTCGGGGAACCAATACTGGTGCGTCATAATCCCCCCAAATCCGTAGTTTAACGTTAGGATTCACTCTTGGTGCCGTACGTTCTGTGGGTCTTAACAAATATATGGTGACACGAATCCACCATTGCTGTATCCTACAGAATAGTTTCACTGCCCTAAACATCCTCGGTGTTCCATTCATTCCCTCCATCCTCCAATCCCTGTCAACCACTGATCCTTCTTCTGTCTCCAGAGTTGTGTCTTTTCTAGAACGTCGTCTAGTTAGAATCATACAGTCTGTTGCCTTTCAGATTGGTTTCTTTCACTTAGTCACATGTATCGATGCTTCTTCCATGCCTTTTCACAGGTTGATTGCGTGTTCACTGAATAGTACTGTATTGTCCGAATGGATCACTGTTTATCTTTTCACCTCCTGAAGGACAACTTGGTTGCTTCTAAGCTTTGGCAGTTACGAATAAAACTACTGTAAACCTTTCTGTGTGGGTTTTTGGGTAGGTGAGAGTTTTCAGTTCATTTGGGTAAATACCACGGAATAAGATGGCTGAATCATATAGTAGGAATATGTGTAGTTTTGTGAGAAATTACCAAAGTAATAAAACCAAATAAAACCAATAAAAACCAAAGTTTTGTGAGAATTACCGAAGTGGCTGTACCATGTTGCATTCCCACCAGCAACGAATGAGAATTCCTTTGCTCCACTTTCTTGGCAGCATTAGGGATGGTCAGTGTTTTTGATTTGGGCTATTTTAATAATTTGGAAATAGAATCTCATTATTTAAATTTGCATTTCCCTAATGATATATGATACTGGTTTCTTTTGATAAATTTATTTACCCTCTATTTATCTTCTTTGGGGGAAGTATCTGTTCAGGTCTTTCACCCATTTTTTTTAAAGTGGCTTGCTCATTTTCTTACTGAATTTTAAACGTTCTTTCTATATTTTGGATAACCATCCCCCATTAGATATGTCGTTTGCAAATACTTTCTCTCAATTTTTGGTTTCTCTTCTCATTCTTTTGACAGTGTCTTTCCCAAAGCAGATATTTTAATTTTAATTGAGATTTAGCTTTATCAATCCTTTCATGGAGCATGGTTTTGACATTATATCTAAAAAGTCATTGCCAAAATCACCTAGATTTTTTCCCTAGTTTTATAGTTTGGTTTTATAATGAGGTCTGTGAATTATGAATTAACTTTTGAGAGGAGTGGAAGATCTATGTCTAGATTGACTGATTGATTGGTTGCATGTGGATGTCCTGTTTGTTCCAGCCCCATTTGTTAGAAATCTGTCTTTGCCCCATTGTATTGCTGTTGCTCCTTTGTCAAAGATCAGTTGACTATATTTACGTGGGTCCATTTCTGAGCTCTCTATTCTGTTCTATTGAACTATTAGTCTATTCTCTTCCCAATACCACATTGTCTTGATTACTTTAACTTTATAGTAGTTCTTGAATTTGGGTAATGTCAGTCCTCCAGCTTTGTTCTTCATCTTCAATATTGTGTTGGTTATTTGTTTTTTGGTGTTTTTTGCCTTTCAGATAAACTTTAGAATCTGTTGATACTCATAAAGTAACTTGCTGGGGTTTTCATTTGGTTGTGTTGAATTTATAGATCAAGTTGTAAGAATTGGCATCTTGACAGTATCAAGTCTTATTATCCATGAACATGGAATATCTCCAGTTATTTAGTTTTTTTATTTTCATCATCAGTTTTATTTTATCATCATTTTACTTATACAAATTTTATACCTATTTTGTTAAATTTATATCAAAGTATTTACCTTTAGGAGTGCTAATGTAAATGGTAGCATGTTTTTAATTTCAAATTCCACTTGTTCATTGTTCATATTTAAAAAAGCTATTCGTTTTTGTATCTGAACCCTGTATCCTGCAGCCTTGCGGTAATTACTTATTAGTTCCAGAAGTTTTTGATTCTTTCAAATTTTCTACATAGTCATTATCATTTGCAAACATCTTCCTTCTTAATCTATATCATACTTTTTATTTCCTAGCATTAGCTAGGACTTCTAGTATGATGTTGAAAAATGGTAAACATGCTTGCCGTATTATTTTTTATCTTGGAGAGCAAACACAAGTGGGGGTGAGGAGCCCCTCCCCTATGTGCTCTCTCTCTCAAAAATAATAAACTTAAGAAACAAAAGTTGGCATTTTACCATCACTTATTCCTTCTCTGATGTTCTTACTTTTTTCATGGAGATTCGAGTTTCTGCCCTGTATCATTTTCCTTCTCTCTGAAGAGCTCCTTTTAATATTTCTTGCAAGGCAGAGGTCTACTGGCAACAGATTGCCTCAGTTTCTCTTGCCTGAGAAGGTCTTTATTTCTCCTTCACTTAGGAAGATTATGTTCACAGGGTATAGAATTCTAGGTTGGCAATTATTTTCCTCTCAAAACTAGATATTTCATTCCATTCTTTTCTTGCTTGCATGGTTTATGAGAAGTTGGATAGGATTCTAATCTTTGTTTCTTTGTTTCCTCCCAATTTGTTTCAAGATTTTTTTAAAGGGGCACCTGGCTGGCTCACTTGATAGAACATGCAACTCTTGATCTCAGGGTTGTGAGTTCAAGCCCCATGTTGGGTGCAGAGATTACTTAAAAATAAAATCTTTAAAAAAATAAAATTAAAATAAAAGCCATTAATTTTGACTTTTGCTGTTTGAATATGCTATGTCTAAGTGTAGTTTTTGGTTTTTTATGTTTTTTGTTATTTATCCTGCTTTGTATTTTCTGATCTTCCCGGAGCTGTGATCCAGTATCTGACATTAATGTGAAGAAATTCTCAGTCATTGTCACTTCACATAAGTCTTTTATTCCTGCCTCTCTTTCTTCTCATTCTGGTAGTCCCATTATACATGTGTGTACACTTTTGGTAGTTACCCAACATTTCTTGGATACTGTGTTCTGATTTTTTTCAGTGTTTTGTTTTTTTTTTTTTTAATCTCTGTCGTATCTTCAAGCTCAGAGAGTCTTCTGTCAGCTGTGCCCAGTTTAGTGATGAGTCCATCAAAGCCACTCTTCATTTCAGTTACAGTGTTTTTGATCTCTAGTAATTCTTTATGATTCTTGACTAGAATTTTCATTTCTGCTTATGTTCTTCATTTGTCCTTCCATGTTGTCTCCTTTTTCCATTAGAGCTTTTAACATAATCATCGTAGTTGTTTTAAATTGCTGGTATATTAATTCCTACATCCCTGCCATATCTAAGTCTGTTTTGATCTTGCCTTATCTCTTCAAACTTTGTGTTTTGCCTCTTAGTATGCCTTGTAAGTGTTTCTTAAAAGCCAAGTGTGAAGTGCTGCATAAAAGGGACTCTAATAAATAGGGCTGTGGTGCTGTGGTGATAAGGTGAAGGGGGAGGGGAAGCCTTCTATAGTCAGTTGCTAGGTTTCGGTCTTTTAGTGAGCCTGTGCCCCTGGGCTGTGAACTTCACAGGAGCTTCTCAGTTTCTCTCCCACATAGGTGGGACAGGGCTGCTAGACTTGATTAAAATGAGTATTTCCGAAACTTCCTCCACGCAGAAGGCTAGGGGCAGGCTGGAGTCAAGCATTTTCTTTTTTCCAGGTTGATTAGGTTCTGATAAACTCCCATGGGGTTAGGCTGTGGTAAAATCATTTATTTTATTTTATGTTATTTTATGTTATTTTTTATAAAGAGAGACAGAGCACCAGTGGGGGGAGAAGCAGAGAGAGAGGGAGACACAGAATCCGAAGCAGGCTCCAGGCTCTGAGCTGTCAGCACAGAGCTGGATGCGGGGCTCGAACTCACAAACTGTGAGCTCATGACCCAAGCCAAAGTCGGACACCCAACCGACTGAGCCACCCAGGCGCTCCAAATAGTTTCTCTTGAGGGCAGGCCTTGTTAAGAACAGAATGCCCTGGCATATTTCCAGAGGATCCTTTCTCCTCTCCTGCTGGAAGCCTGAAGGGGTCTGTCTTCCAGTATTCCAGTATATGAGAAACCTAGTTAAGCTCCTGAAAGTAATAACTCACAGAGGTATGGGGGGCCACCTATGACTGATGCCCCTGGAGTTCTCATCTCTCAGGCTTGTCCACAGCGACCTCCAGCAGTTCATCCGTCACAGTTCCGATTTTGCCACCCGGACAAGGTTCCTGCACAGATATTGTGGTTCTCTGTAGTCACCTGTTGGGTATCTCCAGTTTTTAAGGAGACTTCTTCCATATCATCATTTTGGCTAGCTTTCTGTCTCACATAAGTTTTAAAAGCTTGTTATGCGCTCTGCACCTGTGAGTACTGCTATATTATAGGAGGCTCATACATTGTCCAGGGGCTGGCCGTTCAGGAAGTGGTTTTTTTTTTTTTTTTTTTTTTTTTTTTTTTTTTTTTTTTTTTTCTTTTTTCTTTTTTTTTTTTTTTTTTTTTTTCCGGTTTT